AGGGAAAAATACTCTATGCAAGCAGGATGGCTAATGGGCTCTGGTAATGTCTCCATTTAAACTTCAGCTTTCTTAATTAACAGCGTAGTTCCAAATAACCGGTAACTTCTAATGCATCTTTGTCATTAAATATTTTGACCACATTTGACTGAAGGATCATTGTTCTCGCTAGATGATTGCTCCTTTCAAAGCTTCGCTTAAACATGGAGGGGGAATCCATTTATCGATAATAGTATTACATGTAAATTATGAGTATGAAAACTTATTTTTTTTTTTTGGCCTTGCTATGTTAAACTGAAAACACAAGTACATTATCTAGGGATTGCTTAAGCATGTAAAAAAGTTTAAATGAGTACGTATGTAATGTAATCCTGAAAAATGCAATGGAATGAATTGAAACCCTGAGTTACAGTTTCCAGCTCAAATATTTCATTTTGGGTTTGTCTTTTGTTGTTCTAATTATTACACCACAATGAATTTGCATGTTCAACCTAAGCTATGTAAGAAAACAGCATCCCAAGTCCTCATATCTAAAAGGTGTACTGCGTATTTAAAGAAACCTTTTAATAATGTTGTATTTTGGGATTCCCGTCTGTTTTAATGATCTGAGCTGTTATGCTTTTAGCTATTTTTTTTACTTCCATTATTTGTAAGTCCCTAAATAGGCCATTATATTTCCCTTCAGGCTAGAGATGAAGATGGACATGCTGAAAATTTTCCCCAGCAGCACTATGCTAAGGAAACTCCAAGACTTGCCTTCAAGAATAACTGCGAACTACTTGTAAGAATAACATACTTACAACAAGTCTAGATTGTTACTTTAGCACAGTGAAAACCGTTCTCTTTTTCTTTTTTTGAAAGGCTTTTTGTTCATTATGACATACATTATGAAATATGATAGGGCTTTTTTTTTCCTGTTTAGCGTTCTAATGCTAGTTCTGCTATCTGTGAACAATTTAAGATCTCAGGTTGCTTGAAAAATCTCTTATATTTGATGACAGCACATGAATGGCCTTGTCGTACTACCTTGTCTCGCATGGTAATTCAGGGAGAGCCATGCAGGCAGTGGCTAGTGATGCACGAAAAGCTCCCCTCACCCTCACCTTCCCCTTCCCGCCTGGCACCCCAAAACTCCCTCTCCCATCCACGTTTTAGCTCTGTGTTGTTTTTGGGCGTTGGCACCGTGTTTTGTTCTGCTGACATGCTGTACTCCCTTTAGAGCTTGCCTATTCCTCCCCTTCCTAGCTGCATGCAGGCGGGAGCATCCTTTCCTCTCCTCTCCACTCCTTTCCTCTCCTCTGCTGCGGGGAAAGAGCAAAAGCCAGGAAAGCACATACAGGGAGCCTGGAGTGTTTACAAGCCATACGAGAGATGATATCAGCTGTGAAAGCATCTCTGTTCCAAGGCAGGGTTAATTCGCTGTTCATTTTAGCATTTGCAGCTAGGCAAGATTAAAAGCA